GTGTGTGTGTGTGTGTGTGTGTGTGTGTGTGTGTGTGTGTGTGTGTGTGTGTGAGAGAGAGAGAGAGAGAGAGAGAGAGAGAGAGAGAGATTTCCTTACGGATATTGCTTCGGACGCTGATGCCTGTGTGCTGTGTCTCTGTGGGGGGTGTGTATGTGTGTGCGTGTGTGAGTGAGAGAGAGAGAGAGAGAGAGAGAGGCATTAGGTCGTAATTTAGAAAGGAAGCAGAAGATAGCCGTTTGTGTGTATGTGTGTCTCCGTGTGTGTGTGTGTGTGTGTGAGAGAGAGAGAGTGAGAGAGAGAGAGAGAGAGATGGCGGGAGGTCGCTAAAGGGAGCAGAAGAGTGGCGTGTTTGGCCGGGATTCAGAAAGGAGGCAGAAGATAGACGTGTTTCTCTGTGTGTGTGTGTGTGTGTGTGTGTGTGAAAGGATGCAGAAGATAGACGTGTTTCTTTGCGTGCGTGTGTGTGTGTGTGAGAGAGAGAGAGAGAGAGAGAGAGAGAGAGAGCAGGTCGGGATTTAGAACGCAAGCAGAAAGACGTTGTCATATTCGGTATTTTTAACTCCACAAAAAAAATCATGACCCTGTGCGTGTGTGTGGGGAGAGAGAGAGCGGTGAATGCAAGGCTATGCGGGGAATTCTGCAAATGTAGAGCAGATGACGAGTGAAAGGTTCACGCGATCTATGTCACCATCTGCAGAAGACAGGTAGTGTTCCACTTTCCTACATACGTTTCCTTTTGCCGTCGGATACACCTTCGGGACTGTCCCTGTGTGAGAATGACGGAACAGCCTGTTTCAGCATACCCCCTTCTTTTGTACTATTTATGTTTCTGTACGTTTGTACGGGTGAGTGGTGCGTGAAATAGCCGAATCTGTGTAAATCTGTAAATCTGGTGTAGTTCGTAGAATGAAGTTGGAGCACACTCGTGCCAAATGTCAAGCAGTAGCAGACCCCGAGAAGGAAGGAAAAGCGAAAAGGGAAATCCATACTCGCGGATATTTTTTGGTCGCGGTGGATGGGTGGAGGCGGCACGGTTCAAGGATCTCCACGTGTGAATGGATGATTCAGTAGCAGGAAGTGCTCGCTGCGAGAGCGGGGTTATGAGTTAGAAAAGTACCTGTCAGTAAGAAGGAAAGGGGAGTCAAATGGTGGCACACACACGGTCTTTTGTTTTTCCCTTGGTGGTGGGTGGTTGGGGGTTGTACGGTGGGAGGATGGATCTTCACGTGTGAATAATTCAGGACGATGCACAGCCCCCGTCATCTATAGTGATAATGAGCTACCAGAGGGCATACTCACACTAGGGCTTTTTGACCCATCTCTGGACGTAATTACGGTCAGATGCGTGCAGGAGAAGTCGCAGTTTCCGTCAGACATATCCGGAGGAGTCCAAGTGTGCATACCCTCTGAAGTTTACGGGATAGAAAGGTCGTGTGGGTTGACGGTAGCAGGAAAGATGAAAGTAATTCAAATGAAACGGGCGGGCGCAAAAGGCCGGTTCTCACGAAACAGGTCGCCAGGGACGGCCAGACCATGGATGAAACAGGTTGGGCAGGGCCAGCCTGGCCCAAACGTGAACGAAACAGGCATGGCAGGGCCGGACTGGCCATGCACGAAACAGGTTTGGCAGGGCCGACCATGCACGAAACAGGCTTGTAAGAGCTGGGCAGGCCATAAACGAGACAGGTTCGGCAGGGCCGGGCCGGCCCAACCATGGACGAAACAGGCTCGGCAAGTGACATGCTGGTCTCAGGGATGGATAGCGGTTAGGTTGGTGCATCACTGTGGGGGTTAAACCGGCAATCTACGGTCCTAGGCGGCAAAGTGAGCGTGTTATTTTGAACTTTCTACGGGTGTAGGCTCTGGCGACTTCCTCTGGAGGGCTCCTATTTCGCCACCTACGGGCCCTTTACATGCCTAGCCTTTCCAAATGTTACTTGTTCTTCGGTCACAGACGAGGTGGAAAACCAAGAAAAACGGAAAGGAACTACCAAAGAAAACTATAGGA